AAACAAAACAACCCTCAAAGATGAATGTTCTTCCACTTCAACAAGGAATTCGCTCTGAAGGCAATTTAATACTATTCTGTTGATCACTACTTTCTTAAGTCAGTTTATCAAACTACCTACAAACTGCAGAGGTACACTACATTCAATGCATTATGAATATACAATTCAGGTTGCATATTCTCTCTCTATATATATATATGTATGTGTATGTGTATGTATGTATGTATGTATGTATATGAATATATGTGTGTGTATGTATATGAATATACAACACTGTACTATGCAGCAACAAAAAAAAATAAGAGGACTGAAGAAAGAATCTGTTCTAGGAAGAAATCCGGAATTCAGTCTAAATAATGAAAAATCTGATTTATGATGCAGAACAAAATAAAATGTAAGGATATGGTTTGGCTGGAAGAATATTTTTTCTTTATCTCTCAGTCCTCATTTACTGACGCAGTTTAAAGCTCTTCCCTTACTGGATACTTGCTATAATTTTCAGCAATCTCTTCATATAAGGAGAAAAAAAATAAAGCCTCTTTTCTTAATATTAAAATAATAGCTTAAATGCTAATTGAATACTTTAAAAACACTAATTTATATATACATATATAATTTGCATATACTAATTTACTAACGTACATGTGCTCAATGCTAAATAAAGCTCAAAACACCAATGAGCTTTTCAAGAGTTTCAGTCTAAAACGCAAATATCAATCCTGCTAATTCGCATACTACGTCTCAAATCCTGCAATTTACATGACATTTTTACTGCAGTAACTTCAACCATTTCTATTCTTCTAACAGAAATACTATTTTTGCATACTAAAAAAAATACTATTTTTTTTACTGTTTGATCTAACAGAAAAGATCAATATTCAGTTTGTCTATGTAAAAGAGAAAAAGGCAGAGAATTACAGTTTCTCAAAGACAAAAAGAATCTTCACACAAGATTTTAAGATTATTCAAGTGCCAAAGGCCTTCATTAACATATTTGACAGATTCAAAATCTTTCCATAGGTTTTGAAGCTTTTGCCTATTGTTCTGATACCAACCTTGTTTCTTTACCAAGCAACAGATGTAAGAGCCTTCAAGATGGTTTTTCACTGAAAATAAGCTTGTTTCTCAGACTGTACTGCAAGTCTGATTTGTGTTATTTACTTATATATCAATTTGATATTGTAAATGCAACAAAATACCTTTCTCAGCCTGAATCCTACAGAGGCATTCAAAACCTCTTCAGTCTGAGGTCAAGCTAAAACATACATGAGGATGCTGCTTGAATAGCTTCTTCTACCAGAATCTTACATTGTAATAAACATTAGCAGTTCTTCTAGTCTTAGAAGCTTATTCATTAGTTTAAGCAAAATTTTAAAGACATCCAACAGCACTGCCTAGTCATCAGCCTTAACAACATTTTCTTTACCCGTCATTGAGAGCTAACCTTGCAGCCCTCCGGCCATACGAACCTGCCCTACCCCGTTGACATACCCAGGAGCACCAGCTTTTTAAGAGTGCAACAAACTGTGGTAAATACTTGGAACTTCAGTAATTTCTGTCACTGTTTTAAACTATTAAAGTAGAGTGGAAAAAAAGTTTTTCAGTTGGATTAAACTGATCAGCTGGAAATTCTAGTTATGGATGGAAGTTGCAAGGACGTATAAAGCCAGGATTCTTCTGCCTTCCACAGCTAGAGCTGCTGGCTGATACAGAGCAGAAGGAGAAAGCTCTAAGTTGCCCTGGTCTGGCCTGACCTGACAGCCATCAGTACCTCCTATTTTGTGAACTTCAGTTTTTCTTAGTGAATTGGGTCACACGTACTATTTACATATATTAGCCACTTCCTACATGCTCCATTGCTCTTCAATTTGCTAGAAAAGAACAGCATACTCCAAGTTTAATTCATTTTCAAAATAGTTCTAACTATGTATTTCAGTATGAAATACAACATAAAATACAATACAGGGACTCTGAATAATTTCATAAAAATACACACATATCTCTTCGCTCAGGGGCCACTATAATTACATTTGACTATATACATCAGTCCTGTATCATACGTGTAGCTAAGTAGCTATATGACTGAATAACTATATTACTTTGATTATCTTTTCACATCACATCTACTATTTACCAGAGCAACAAAAGCAAGATGAAGCAAGATGAAGATGAACTACTTACTACTAGTCTTGTTCTTATTCTTATCTAGATGTGAAATGAAAAGAGCACCTTTTAATCAATTCCATGTCTAGAAAAACAGTAGCTACTATAAAATTACTACTGTACACAGGCTGCCTTATCAATACCTTTTTTTTTTTTTGGTGGTGGTGGTGCTATATCTTACTGACAGTCAAAAAGTAAGGAAAACAGAATACACCATTCCTCATCCAAAACCTCCTGGAACTGGACAAGCCTTGGGACTGGAGACTATTTCACAAGTCTGCGTTTTGAAATTTGTAGTCAATCAAATATGATACTCATGTCTGGGAAGATTCCTTGAAAACCAATGAAAAGCACATAGGAAATGCACTGCGCTGCACGGCTGGCTGCTCCTACCTATTCTCAGGCAATGCTGCTAAAACCTGGTTCTCACTGTTACTAGCATTCAGTTTCTTTATAGACGTACAAGGGAGAAAAAGACATAAAATAGATATTTACTATAGTTCTCCAACTTGCAGTCTTTTCTCTCGAAAATATTTGTCATCATCTGACACCTTTAAATTTGCTTACTGAAATACACGACAGCTTTGTGCTCTGTGATGTTTATGGTTACGTATGTCTTCAAAAAAATCACATTTGATAAATAAACCATGGATCTCAAAACACTTCACATATTTCCCCAGGAACTTTCCCCATTCTCAGAATTAATTAGGCAATGTTAAATAAGATGGCCTCTTCTGGAGTACACTGGCAATAACTAACACTAAGTATAGCTAACCTAAAATGCAATAGAGTAAACATGCATCTAAGAAGATTAATGAAGCAAATAGTCCTCTGAAACAGCCAGCAGAAGGATAATAAATGTGAAAGGAGGAAACAGAAAGTTTCAAAAGGAAAAGATGACTAGCATTTAACCAGAGCATACAATTACCTAGAATCACCGCAATGGCTGGTAAGAGAAAACAACACAAACAATCAAGCAAATCATGACCTG